AAAACTAGACCATTGCACAAACGTAAGGCATATGTCAAGATAAGCTGCCAAACCAATCGCGAATGGAGGAATATCTACAGATGGTGTGAGTGGAGAGTTGGAAAACAATGGGCGGCAGCGGCAGCGGCACTAGTTAATATAAAAGTTTTCCATTAATACCTTTGACTTTAACAGGGTTGGTTACCGTGCCATTTCTAAAAAGGAAAATCTCAACAACATTCTCTTCTGTCTATCTGGCAGCCCAAGCCTGGTCTATATATTATATCCATGGAACCTGACCCACAACAAAAAGTGCGTCTTTCACCAACCAACATCACTCATGGATACCACGTGGCGATAGTTTTAGGATGTGCTTACCGTTTTCTTTTCGTCTTTAATTTCTCTACTCTGCCTCAATGATAAGGATCAACGACATCCCGATTCAATGTTATAGTTAGGCGAGATTTACTTTAAGTTATTAGTTTATAAGATTTATATTTTATATAACACCATAGCTTTTCAATATAACAACCTTTACATAATCATAAATTAATTTAAATTAAATACTTTATATATGCCCTCTAATTGCGTCTTAATAATATTTAGATAAGTATTGAGCACAACAGAGTGGCATTAATTATTTAAAATTAAATGTGTTAAGAGCATCTTCAATGGTGCTCTTTATTTTGAAGAACATCTTTCGTATAAATAAAAAACATCTTCATTAATTTTAAAATATAAATAACACAATTTTTATTCAAATCTAGTAGACTCTTTAAATTTTATGAAGATGCTCTTTATTTTTAAGAAATAGAATTAATTGGAGAGAGAATTAATAAATAAAATGCATAGGAACTTGTAGTTTATTAATTAAAATTAAGATAGAGAGTGAAATTTGACTCTCTAAATGTAGAGAGTCAAACTCACTCTCTAATTTATATTTTAAAGATAAAGAGTCTGTTGGACTCTTGTTTTTATAGATAAACTCTTTATAATAAAGAGTTTGGATCATATAAAGAGTCCTTTAGAGATGCTCTTAAGAGCACCTTCAGTGGTGTTCTTTATTTTGAAGAGCATCTTCATTAATTTTAAAATACAAATAACATAATTTTTATTCAAATTCAATAGACTCTTTAAATTTAATGAAGATACTCTTTATTTTTAAGAAAGAGATTTAATGGAAGAGAGAATTAATAAATAAAATATATAAGAACAAATAGTTTATTAATTAAAATTAGGATAGAGAGTGAAATTTGACTCTCTAAATATGGCGAGTAGAGAGTCAAACTCACTCTCTAATTTATATTTTAAAGATACAAAGTCTGTTGAACTCTTATTTTTATAGATAAACTCTTTATAATAAAGAGTTTGAGTCATATAAAGAATAATTTGGAGATGCTCTCTAAGTTAATCAAATCCTTATAATTCATTATATAAAAATAAAAGTATATCACCCCCATCTCCATGCCAGAGTGTATCTAGCCCGGCCTCAACAATTGATATATCTTCTAATGTTATAAGAGTTCAAACGGTTGTGGTGGGAATCGACGATAGCCAGCACACCTTCTACGCATTGGAATGGACCCTGGATCGTTTCTTCACGGCTGGCCCTTCAAACCCTTTTAAGCTTGTCTTGTTCACTCACGCCAAACCTTCTCCTTCTTCTGTTATGGCCTTATGGGCCTCATTGGACCAGGTTTAACTTTTTCTTTTCTTTATAGTTTTGACCTTAAAAAGAATAAATAAATAAATAAGACATTGATTCCAATTTATTTTGATATTGAGGAATTTTACTATGAAATCAATTTCAAATTGACAGGCTGTGTGGATGTTTTGTCAATTGTGGAGGAGGATTTGAAGAGTTGTAGAAACGGCCAAGGAAATGTGATAGATGCATAATTGTAATTGTAATTTATATAGTTTTTGATTGTTGAATTAAATTAGTAATGGATATTTTGTGAACGTGTTCATGTTCAGGTACATGACGTAGAATTAAATTAGTAATTATCTCTCATCGTTTCGAAAACTACGAATTCTTAATTTCTACAAGTTTTAATGATTTTGTAGGGTTGTTCTTGGAAGCGTGACTACTGTTCTCATCATTCTCACTGCACCGTCACCATTGTGAAGAAACCTAAAACCAAACATTGAGCCATTTTACCATACTTCCAAATTTTGTAACATATATATGGTGTACTGTTTGAGCGATCCATTTTACCATGACAGTGGTCATATATTGTCTTTGTTTGTGTTGTGTGTGATGTGTGTGATTTTTCCGCCAAACTCGGGCCAACTCAAAGATAAAGCTTGACCTGGAATGAGCTTAACGACTATGATTGATTAACCTAGCATAAACTCGTCGAGATATAGTTCGACTCAGTATAAGCTAGTCACGAATAATTCAATGAATCATTCAATAAATCTCCAGATTATCCAGAGATTACGAGAATGGCTCGATCAACAGCGATCACTGCGCCCAAACATAAGAATATCGGAATTGCGATTCAGATCAATTGTAATCCCCTTAATTTCGCTATTTTTTTTGTACAAATCTTGTATAAAAACCCCCTCAAACGATGAGGAACGGGTTACGATTTTCAAATAAGAATTGCATTATAAGCTCTCACAGCAAATACAAAAACACAATGGACGTAGACTATTAATTTTGCCAAACCACTTTAAAAATCTCTTTGTTTTTAATTCATTTCATTCATATTCATTATTGATTTTCACTAATCATACACACATCGATTACGATCCCAACAAGGTCGATCGAATCACGCTGGTTAATGCAGAATTCTGTATCACCAGTTTGTATTTTTCATGTAGTTATGCCTTAATCTAAAATTATAAATATATGTTAGGTACACATCAATTTAATTAATGTGTTTTGTTACTGGAAGAGTGTGGGAAACACTTATTAATTAATATTGGAAATTATAATTCGTTATTTTTTTTTTACTTTTTCATTTGTGTAATACATTTCAAAGTTCAAACATCAAGAATTGACATATGTGTTGATGTCAAAGAATTAAATTCATCTCAAATCAAATAAATTGTTATTTTGATCTAAAATAATTTATATATTTTTAAAATTATAAATAGAATTTTTTTTTTCGCTTCTGGTAGCTGTTATCTTTTTAATTTAATAAAATAGAATTATTACGAGAAAAATATACAACTACTTAGATTACGTTTTTTCACTTTAATTGCTTACTTTAAAAATGCTAATTATTATAGACTACGTTTTTTAGGTGTATTAATAAACCACTTAGAAGTTTATAAAAACAAGTCAAATTTCCATTTTACAACTTAATGAGACAATAAAATTCTACTAGAAGTTGAGCATAAAATGTGCCTGATTTTCAGGATCTACAGATGACGTACTGGCGTGGGAGGTAGAGGACTCATTGGTATACAATGCCTAATTGCAGACAGTCCCCAAAGAGACAAAGATGAATCAATTTTTTTTTTTATAATGTTGTCATACCATAAACATATATTATCTTTATAAGCATCAACCTTATATTAATACTTATATTTGTAATAAATATGGAAATTTTCAAAAGTGTTTTTATAAATAGAATTATGGCTAAAAAAACAGGGATGGATGTTTAGGATTTTGAACATCGCTTTATTTAAGTCGCCTAAACGACTGTGTTTTGCTTAATCTTAGACGAACAACCAAACCAAGGCCAATCATTTGCCTTAACCGTTTCTTCTCAACTTCTCTAGAAACTGGCCAATCTGTGTTCACCTTCTGCCTCTATAAATACAAGACAATGTGTTGAGATACTCTGTACATTTCATTGTCAGTCTCCTTGATCATTCCTTCAAACAAACTCTGCGATTTTCTACATAGTTTCAATGGCGACCACAGAGAAACCAACGATGCTGGTAGGAATCGACGATAGCCACCACAGCTTGTACGCACTTGAGTGGACACTGGATCACTTCTTCACAAATTTTCCTTCAAATCCTCCTTTTAAGCTTGTTGTCCTTCACGCCAAAGCTCTTCCTTCTTCTGTTGTCGGCCTCGCCGGGCCTGGTAATTCAAGTTTCTTACTTTTTTTTTTTTAAAAAACAAAAAAGTTAATTTAATTAATCCTTGATAATTGTTTGATTCCTTTGTATTTTGATTTTGATAAACTGTAGAAAATACATAAAGCATCGGTGCGTTATTATTTGGTATGATGATGGATTATTGTTGCAGGAGCAGTGGATATTGTGCCAATTGTGGATGCAGATTTGAAGAAAACTGCGGCCAGGGTTGTGGAAGCGGCCAAGCAAATGTGCAGCAGCAAATCGGTAAGATACATATCTATCTGTAGTTTATATTGTTAATTTCATTGCTGTTTACTGATTGATGGATGTGGGGTGTACCTGTTCAGGTGCACGACGTACAATTTGAAGTGATGGAAGGAGATCCTAGGAATGTCCTCTGCGAGGCCGTAGAAAAATACCATGCCTCCATGCTGGTTTTGGGTAGTCATGGCTATGGAGCTATCAAAAGGTAATCCAAGCTAACATTATTTTTTATTGTTCATAAAATTACTAATAGATGTGACCTGTACCTTTTACTTTATTTCATATTTCTGTTATATATTATACAAATCTTGGAACCATGTGATCAAAAGTATTCAATTAAATGCTGGAACGACCTTGATGGATGTTTTTACTAGAAAATAAAAGTACTTGTTAGTAGGGATCTTTTATAAATTATAATGCTGATCTGCAGCCTCATTCTTTCCTGATATGGATTCTCAATTTCTCATCATTTCTAACTAGAAGTTTAATGTTTTTGTAGGGCGGTTCTGGGCAGTGTAAGTGATTACTGTGTTCATCATGCACACTGCACCGTGACGATTGTAAAGAAGCCGAAAATCAAACACTGAGCCACTTTACCAGCTTCTAAATTAAGAACCACCCATAAAATGGTTGCAATATTATTACTTTAATAAGTATGCAACCTTCAAAATTGATAACATGTATTGTTTGAGCCCCATATATATCATACCATTTCTCCGAAATGTAGTATGTATTATTCAGCTTCGCTTTGTGTGAACGTTTCAATGTTTCACTAAATTTGATGTACTTCCATAAAATTTGTAGCCATATGTCAAAACTAGTTCCATGAGTTGATTTTTTAGTTATGTTATTGTTGTGCGAACTAGAGATATGTGTGGACAGTTGGCTTGCTGCTTACGAGCATGTGCTGGCAAAGTCTAAAGATTCGAATTTAAAGATATTGCCGTGGGTAATATAAAATATTACTCGTGCATCTTGCTGTCGCTGCTATTATCAGGATAAATTCATTTGTTCACCACTTGATGATAACAGTTATTCCTTTTGTTTTTGTTGGATGAATGATCAAGTAACACCCTCTCAGTGCTCAGTGTTGCTTTTACTTGGGAATCCAGCACATTACAACACGGACAGACAAATTTGGAAACAGAACATTTAGCAGTCCATTTATGCCACAGCGTATTTTAGGCGGTATAAAAGTTTGGTTGTGGATGGGATTGGGTGGGAAGTTTCGAAAATCAGTTCTTAGCTAAATTTAACTCTTATTACTGCTTATGAATAAAGCGGCTTTTTCATTCCTTAGGTACTAAAGAATATCAAATCCTGATTTTTAGCTTAAATTTAGCTCTTATTACTGCTTATGAATAAAGCTGCTTTTTCATTCCTTAGGTAACTAAAGAATATCAAATCCTGAAAGCATCTTTGGATTTAACTCCGAGAAGAATTTCAAAAACAAAACCATCTCCTGGGGTTTCTGTAATGGAGTATTCAGTAATTACCAAAATATTGCAAAGGAAACAAATAGCCCAATAATTAGCAATCTTCTTCTTGTTTTTACTTCGGCTATGCCTTGGAATGTGAAATTTTAGTTTTTATTTATTTAAAAATGTTATAATTACATCAGGTTGATTGCTATCATCAATACGTGTTCAACTTCAACATTACAACTCTTCAAATCCCGACAAAATCCCATGGAGTCATATTTTACTTAATTCACTTAAACGACCGCGTTTTACTTCCGCCGAGAAGGCCAATGATTGCACATGCTTTAGCACATGGCTTCTTTATTTCTTTAGATAATAACCAATCACAAATTGTGGTTCACTTGCTCTGTTCAGCTCCGGCCTCTATAAATTCAGAAAATTTGACCACTCAGTTTGTTTGATCATTCATCGTAGCAAACTCTGTAACTTTGACTGGATTTTCAATGGCGACCTCTGAGAAACAAACGATGGTGGTTGGAATCGACGATAGCGCGCACAGTTTTTACGCGCTGGAGTGGACTCTGGATCACTTCTTCACAAATTTCCCTACAAATCCTCCTTTTAAGCTCGTCGTTGTTCACGCCAAACCTCTTCCTTCTTCTGTTGTCGGTCTCGCTGGACCTGGTAATTATATTTTTTTCAAAATAAATTAACTATTCCTTGATAATTTTCTATGTATTGACCGGTAATTACAAATGGATTCCGTGGTATTTTGTTTTTGGTTCTTAGGAAATAGTTTGTTTTTGTTCTTGATGATTGTGGGTTGTGAATCTATAGTTGTGATTTTGAACTAGTTTACCTTTCTAATAATTTGTTTCTCTTGAAAAAATGTTTACTTTCTTCGCTAGTTTTATTTTTCATTTAGAAATATGTTGATAGTAAGATAATTGTTGCAGGAGCTGCCGAGGTTTTGCCATATGTCGAGTCGGATTTGAAGAAAATCGCTGCCAGGGTTTTGGAAAAGGCTAAGGAATTCTGCATCAGCAAACTGGTAAGATACATGTTTATTTGTGGTTTATGTTGTTTATGATCGTTGATTTAATTACTGATGGATGCGGTCCGTACGCGTGTACAGGTGAGTGAGGTAGTATTGGAAGCTATAGAAGGAGATCCTAGGAATGTGCTGTGTGAGGCTGTAGAAAAACACCATGCCTCTATTCTGGTTGTGGGTAGTCATGGCTATGGAGCTATCAAAAGGTAAGTATCATCCATTGCTTAATTCCCTCAACATTATTTCTGATTGTCTGATTGGAGTTCAATTACTGTTGCTTAATTTTTACGAAGTTGTGAACTATTTTTAGTTAATTTCGTGTTTGCAGTAATATATTGTATAAACCCTTTAATCCATGAGATCAAATGTATTTTTGAAATGTTGGAAGAGATTGATCACTGTTTCTTCCATGGGTCCTTTTACTGGAAAATAAGGATTCTTTGCATATATTTCCAATAGAAGTAGGGATTTCTGTGATAGCCGATCAGCCTAATTTGTTCTGATTAATTCTTAATTTCATGAGTTCTGACCAAGATTTAAATGATTTTGTAGGGCGGTTCTGGGCAGCGTAAGTGATTACTGTGCTCATCATGCTCACTGCACTGTGACAATTGTGAAGAAGCCTAAAATCAAACACTAAGACACTTTACCAGCAGCTAAATTAGCGAACCCAGAAGCCGGCTGCCCTTGTCTTGTAGTGCTTGAATAAGTATGCAACCTTTAAAATTGACTATATTTATATATGATATGATGTGTATTGATTGAGTAATTTATTTTGCCACTGCTTTTGCAGTTTGGTATGTAATATATATATAATAATTTCAACTCATCTTTGTATAAACTGTGAAATGTTTGGTTAGAGTTAACGTCCCTCAAACAATTTATACAGATATTTCCTAAGTCATTGATGTTATTTCTTATGCTATAAACAGAGATGTGTGGACGGTTAGTTTGCTGATTATAGCATGAAGATATTGCTTTGTTTCTCTTCAGTGTCATCAGCTTGATAAAGTATTAGTTATGAATCTGGGTGTGGCTACTATACTCGTTTTAGAATTCCTTGGTGTTCACCACTTTGCCTTGTTTTCGTGTTGGATGAATGAACAAGTAACACTTTCAGTGATGCTTGGTTACACATGGGCAGAATAATTTGATAGCCAACTTTTTGATTTATCGAAATTGTAATAGAACATGTTATTGGCTTGGAGAAATATATGATGCTCAATGAAACTCTAAATTGAGAATTCATAAACATGACAAGTTTCACATGCACACCACCACTACCACTACTTCAGCCTGCCTGAAGATGGAAGCAAATCAACCCTTTAATTTAATTCCAACCACTCCACTTATAATAATAACATTTTATATCTTATACCCTAACTTCCATAAGGATGGCCTAAGGATACCAATAATACGGAGTTTCACTAGGGATTGAATTATATCAACTCTAGGCTTTAAAGTTGAGGGGTTGGCTTGACGGTCAAAAAAATTTACTCTCTTTCTTCAGTTTTTCGATTCAAACCTTGAGGTTACTTACCACAATAATATTGTGGTTTATCTAGTCCTTTAGGTTTGTAAGGTATTTAATGAATTCTAGAGATTAGTTGAGATTCATGTAAGCTGACTTGAATACTTCGATTGCTAAAAAAAAAAAAAAAAAAAAAACTATGACTTAGAGAATTTAAATTTATCTATGAAAATCAAAGTTATCAATGATCTCTATTATAGTGTGAAATTCGGGATTTATTTTGTTTGTCATTATCATTATAATCCCTCGTTTATGACTTGATTTGTTGTTATAAATTTGACCACGAAATCACAAAGGAATGATAATGTCTAGGCCATATGTTAAAAACTAATGAATTTTATTTATCAAAATATATAAAATGACAATATCCAATTATAATATTATCTTTAAGGAGAGTTTTTCAATTCAATCTTAGTTTGATTAAAACTAATAACAATCTTCCTAAAAATTAGGAAAAATAAATCAAAATATAATATAATAAGGAAAATATATGAAGCCCTAATTAGGAATGAAACTAATAATAGTATTTCCTAAAATAACCTAAAGCTAATAATAATCTTCCTAAAATAAGATAAAAGATATGATAAATAAATTAAAATAGAAAAGAAATTAAATTATTCATAATATATGAAGCCTTAATAGAATATTTATCAAAATTTAAAAAAAAAAAAAAAAAAAAGAGTTGTAAAATTGTGATAGAACATAGAAGCTTCGCGGTTAAAACGGAGTCGCTTAACTCAGGACATACTTAACGTATAGTCAAAAGTATTTTATTTAGAATGTAAAAAAAGAGAATGAAACAAAAAAAGGAGACCGTCCATTTTGATGATGATGAATTGATGATATTAAATTCAAAGGCAGTCCATGTAAGGTCTTAACCACGTAATCTGACAGGTCGGAAAGAGAAACACAGATAGATTTCGGGTTCACAGACAGAGATAGATATAGGGATAGAGATAAAAAAAAAAGAGCATAAAAGTTTTCAGATTTGTCGCTTAGGATTGTAATTTTTGGGTTTCAATTGGTGGACGAACGACAACATGGTGGGCTCTATAGCCACGACCACTCATCGTCGTCCTCCCATGGACGCTGCTGCTGGTGATGATGATGATGATGATCAAGCTATTGAGCCCCCTTCTTCTTTGGTTTCCTGCTCGATTTGTCTTGACTCTGTCTCTGATAATGGTACCAGATCCACCGCTAAGCTCCATTGTGGCCATCAATTCCATCTCGGTCAGCTTTTTATTTTCAATTTTGGGTATTCTGATTTTAACATGCATGTTGACCATTATATTTATTTTGTGCAGCAATTAATGATTTTTGCATGTCAATTCTGTTCCCGTTTAATGTAGTTGCTGTTAACTGTCGATCATTATTTTNGTCTCAATTGGTGGACGAACGACAACATGGTGGGCTCTATAGCCACGACCACTCATCGTCGTCCTCCCATGGACGCTGCTGCTGGTGATGATGATGATGATGATCAAGCTATTGAGCCCCCTTCTTCTTTGGTTTCCTGCTCGATTTGTCTTGACTCTGTCTCTGATAATGGTACCAGATCCACCGCTAAGCTCCATTGTGGCCATCAATTCCATCTCGGTCAGCTTTTTATTTTCAATTTTGGGTATTCTGATTTTAACATGCATGTTGACCATTATATTTATTTTGTGCAGCAATTAATGATTTTTGCATGTCAATTCTGTTCCCGTTTAATGTAGTTGCTGTTAACTGTCGATCATTAATTTTTCAATTTTTGGAAATTGGGTGAGTATTTAAAACTTTCTGGTGTTGGAGAAAATAAACGGGATGAAAATGTGATTATAACTGGGATTGTCTGAAGATTATCAATAGGTCTTAGTGAGATCTCGTATAAGTGTTTAAAGGTTTGCTAATGCCTATAAATGGTGCGAATTGATGGGTGGAGAAAACTTGTGACTTTTTTATACTGTAAAGGATTTGCGTTTTTTCAGTCCCAATAATTTGAATAAGTCACAACGAATTGGTGTTAGATTTCAGATTCTGTGGTGTTATGCGATCAGACTGCAAAGGCCAAAGAGAAAATATATCAGAGTTGAATGTTTCCATTTGCGAAGAACATGATGGGGAATGTGATTAGGCTTGGGTTTAAGGGTTATGGAGATAATGTTGAAGGCCATAAAATCAAAATGCTCTTAATTTAGGGACATAGAGATGTCATCATTGGTGAAAATTGATCCCTGTGACACTTTTGAAAACTCAGTGAGGCTTTATTTAATTTTATTGACATGACTACTTTGTTTTATTTGGTTAAAACTCATGGTGTATGGTAATGTCAATATGGCAATCTTTTGTGAGAATCAAGGGGGTGCTTTTTTTTTTTTTCATAATGGAACATTAGAAATATAGATTTTGTTTCTATCTTCTTGCTGCTTTTAATTTGAGATATGAAAATTATTTTAATCTGGATAAGCTTTGTGTCCCACTCATATTGTATGCAGATACAACACCGATCTCAGTGGTACTTTTAGTTTAAAGTTATACTTAACATTGAGATTTTAAATTCTACACTGCGTTCATATGAAGCTATTATTTTTAATTTGTTTCCTGACTGTGAACTGCGCAATTGTTGACCGGCCTTGTTTCTTTTAAAGGACATAGAAAGAGTTTAGGTGGAGATTGTATTTATGATGCTTGCTCAACGCATCCATGCATTTAGATTTATTCCACTTATCTGACTAGTATTTCGCATGTATTACAATTGGTCTTTTGTGATGCATAATTGTAGCTGTAAATTGTCCTCTATTTTGCAGATTGCATTGGTTCAGCATTTAATATGAAGGGAGCTATGCAATGCCCAAATTGTCGGAAGGTTGAAAAAGGTCAGTGGTTGTATGCCAATGGTTCTGCTCGTTCACTTCCTGAGTTTAGCATGGAAGACTGGATACCCGATGAAGACTTCTACGATCTAAGTTATTCTGAAATGGTAAGCACAATTAAGCATATTGTCTTGTTTCAAGTGGTGTTCTGTTCTCTATTTTGAAACGGTGAACACAATTAAGTGGATTGTCTTATCTCTAGGAGTGTTCTGTTCTCTATATAAGACATAAAATTCTGTTTGTGCATTTTGTACTGGCTGATTATATATTCTGAATTGTCTTTTGGTTAACGCCATTTGTGTCTCAGGCCAATTTATCTCTACATGTTCAGTTTCTTTAAGTCCTGACTTTTGGCTTTGGAATTTCTATAAAGAATGTAAAATTTTTAAATGTATTTATTTTCAAACACATGATGTTATGAGTTTTCTGGTTTAGAAGTTTCTAGTTTCAGTGAGATATGGCAAAAGACTCCTAATAGAACTCCTAATGCCAATGCAATGTATAACATTGGGCCAGGCATTGAGGTTTGCCTTCTGGTCCAAAAACTTTACAGATTGTTTTTTGCACCATGGACTTTGGCAGCTCCTTTATTTATCATTTGCTTCTATGTTTGTTTCTGTCTTCATAGTTCCATTTTTAAATTTATGTTTTTATATTCACTGACATCTGAGTCAGGTTAGATTTACCTGCTCTAGTTGGCATTAGACGGTTTCTTCCATTCATATTATTGAAAACAATATCTTTTGAGGTTAGTATGTTCCAAGAGTTAACAAGTTCACAGTTTTACTTGATTTTAATGGTGATTTAAATTATTCTTGGTATATCAGTAACTGTTTCTTTCTTTCTTTCGTTTTTTTTCATTTTTTTTTTGAGACTAGAGGCTCTTAAGGCTATATCTTGTTTCCTTCACTAGGAGGATGTAAATGTAATATTACATTGATTCTTTGGGTGCATTCTTTTGTGCTATTTCTGGAAGTTATTGGCTGACAGTTAAAAAAAGTGCAAATTTGCTCATGATATTTGTGATTGAGATCATCTTACTCATCTAATTTGTTGTGGCAGCCCTTTAGAGTTCACTGGTGCCCATTTGGTGAATTGGCACGAGTTGGATCATCATTTGAGTAAGCAACGCCTCCCTTCATGCAATTTCCTTTACATTTGATATTCTGTTGCTACCATTTTTGAGTTGCATATACTGTTGTTTTCTATAACTTCATCACCTTCAAGGAAAAGAAGTACAATCAGAGTAATATTACTGTAGTAGGGAAAATGTGTACTGTTGAATGGTAAATTTGTAGATTTTAGGTGGGGATTTGGCCATCAGTTTTCATGTATTCATGGCAGATTCTCTTTGGGTTGATTGTTCATTTAGATTGTTTTTACCTCAATCTTGTGTTTTATTTTACTTTTGTTTGGTGCTACTTATCTTGCTTTCTTGTGTTGGATTTTTACAATTCTATGTTGAAATTGTTTATTGAAACTGTAGAAACAAAGAGAACTTGTTATGCTTGTCTCAAAAGCATTCCCCGTCTACTTTTTTCTGAAACCATTTAACAGTTCCTCTCATAGTGACATCTGTTGAACTATTTCTGACATATTTATGCTTTATATCTTTCAGGGAGGTGGAACCTCCATCAACTACATGTAAGATATTTACTTTTGAATTACTTTCCTGATAAAATTTTCCTAGCCAACTTTGTTACACATGAAATGAAATATCTTATCCATATAGATCATGACCTACGGGGACACCATCCCTTATTCGCTGAACAAGAAGCAGCATCTATGGCTCATTCATACGTTGCGTATGTCGGACCAATTCCGCCTACAACCTCGAGATCTAGCAATAATGTTGATGATCCCCTTTTAAATTATCACTGGAATGGTCCATCAGGACACAATGAGATTTTTCCTCCCCATGCATTTCCTGCCATCCAGTACCATAGTTGGGGTCGTCATTCCCCCCCTTTCGCCATATCCAGTAGCCATATAAACGGTGCTGATCCGGCTTCTCTTCCACCTGCCACGCTTAGATCTTCTCATGGTGAATCTGATGCTGTAACAATGTCCAGATCTTTTCCACATCCATTTGCCTTTGATCATGGGTAAGCTGTTGGCTAGGTTGAGCTTGACTGTCTTTTTTCTTATTTTCCTGCCAGTGTTTGGGTAAGGTTGATTTTAATTATTTTTCTTTTTTCTTTCTTTCCCTTCTTCTTCTCTATCAATAGATGTTTTTTCTTGCCAGTCTGTAGATATATGTTTTTGGAGGTGACATATCTTGAATGATATAAATAGTGAGATGCATTTATCAATCTTTGATTATAACCTCTAACAACCTGCAACCTTTGTGTTTACTATTATTATGTTTCACATATTTCGGAATAGTATGATGTCTTCACCGTATCCAACAGGACATATATTACTTACAAGAGGCACAAAAAGACCCCACCTTTTTCCTTTATGCCTGTTGATCACTGGAATGCTAATCATGCATGCCTGTACTTCCTCAGGTCTGGTCCTAGAGCTGGGAGCTCTTTTGTTTCCTCAGTCGTTCCTCGTCATCCTGGCAGCACTGCTCTAAACGCTTCTCATTCCTTCCTTCCTCAGCAGCAGTCGAGCATTTCAGCAGGGTTGCCCACACCTGTAGTGCCAGGTTTGAGGAGATTTGATGGTCCGAGGAGCTTGCCTGCAGTAGTGCCAGCACCCCCCCAACATGATCAGAATGGTAATTTCTATATCTTTCCGCCAAGTTCATCGGGGCAGAACCTACAAGAAGCAGAAAGTCCGTTTTTGAATCATTTTCATGTATGGGAAAGAGAGAGGTTATCTCGTTTCCCTGGTGTAATAAGAGACTCAAATTGGGGTTCGTTTCATCAGAATAGTGGGGCCTCAGACTCGGGGAACAGGTCAGGAAGCTTTTGGCATAGGCACTCCTCTTAAGAGGATGGGATCAAAAACCTTTGAACATTTATCCTGCCTGTCAGAAAATTGCGTGAATTGCACGCATCCGAACTTGATGACTGGAACTTAAAAGGTTATATATGTGAACTGTGAAACTCTTCTTTTGTAAATTTTGGGCATAATTGCCCTGAAACTGTTGTCCATTTTTGTAAATCCTGGGAAAGTTGCCTTATCCTGTGGCCCCCGAAACTCAACGTTTTGGCAGTTAAAGTATTGGTGCAAATGCAATTTGTACTTGTTTCCACTTTTCAGATATTTTCCTGCGGGTCTTCAGTTTAATCTGTTGATACGATCCATCTTCAAAGTTGAAGTTGGAGTGAGAGGGCAACCGCCATTGCATTAGGCTCGCCATTTCGCGGGCGGATGTTTCATTAATGATTAAACACAAATTAAAGGGTTAAGCCTTTAACTCTGTACATTGATATTCATATTCCCAATTGTATTTCAAGTTTTGGATGATCAATGTGAATTTAATATAGCACTGTTACGTTATTTGTTACTTTAATTATTATTATCACTTTTTTAAACTTTGTATTCTATAAACAATAAATGATTTGATAAGTTCTTTAAATCATCGCATTCACATCACGTGGAATACTATGTCTATTCTACGTGGGAGAGAAAATTCTCTTTTTTAGAACTTCAATTAAAAGACCATGGTTCTGTTAAATTCGTTCATCAAAATTTGTGTAACCATGGTTTAAATGAGGGCTGAATATAAGATCTCTGGTAATTTTATGGGATCTTACAGAACTTTATTACAAGAAGAGTAAACGACATTTTTCCACCCAAGGTTTGGCGAATCTGCAAGTTCTCACCTCTGGTTTCATAAATCGCAGATTCCCACCCTTAAATTAACACCATTACTTTTCTCTCAAAATAACTCTGACATCTCAAATTTCTCTCAAATAACCCCTAGAGGAGATCTCGGCCAAGCCAAAAATCCGACCTGATTTCGACACCATTAGACCTCCCCGACACCACCATCAGCATCCCCTTATCCTCCTCACCAAAACCCCTAAATTTTTCACCTGATTGCATCTCGGCGAGGTGTTGAAATTTGGTTGGAAATGGGCGATAAAATGCGAAAACCTAAGAGAAAGGTGGCGACAATCAACGGACAATTGCAGTTGCCGATGTTGGGGGTTTTGGTGGGGGGAAGCCGGTGATGCTATTATTGGTCTTGGGGGTGGTTTTCGGTGCCGTGACCTGCTGAAATTTGGATGAAACGCCAATTGACATTAAAAGCGACGGCTGACGATTAGGGGGTTCAATCAGACGGAGAGGTTAGGGGTTTTGATGTAGGGGTTGAGGGAATTGTAATAGTGATATCGGGAGCGGTCGATTGTGCCGAAAACAGGCTGGAATGGCCTGAAATCATCGGTGGGGTGAATTTGAGAAGTGAAATGTTATTTTGAAATTTTTCAGTGGGGTGAATTTCAGAAGTGAAGGGTTGTTTTAAAATTTTTATCTTTGAAATGAACATTTTACATTTTTAACTGTTAGATTAAACAATTTTCTGTTAATTTAAGAGTGGAATCTACAATTTATGAAACCAGGATTCGCCAAACCCTGGGTGGGAAAATGTCGTTTACTCTTACAAGAATGAGGAATCAACAATCTGCACATCCTGTAACCTTCAGTGATGAAAAAAAATAATACTAAAAAATAACGCCAACAATAATTCGTTTCTGCAGAAATACGTGGCATTGTTAATGCATACAGTTTAATGAATCAATTAATAACTGTAAACAGAGAAATATTGCAAACTGATTATTGACAGGAATACTGTTATCGTAGAATTTGGTTTATTGAGAAGCAGCATAACAACTAAGAAGAGTAACTCTAGGATTACATAGATGTATGTATCTAGAGCTACTGAAAGCAGTGGGTATGACAAAGAGTAGATAAATTATTGTTGAGTTTGAAAACATAATCTGAATTGATCATGTTTCCCTTCAAAAAGTGGGAGTACCAATGGGCAGATAGCTTGGGATATCTCTTTAAACCAGGATCATTCAAATCCACATAGTACAGCCCGAAGCTGGATCCATACCCATCCAGCAATTCGAATACATCTAGGAACGACCATGTAAAGTACCCTCTTGTATTTGATCCATTTCTTACGGATTCAAACAGATAACAAAAAAGGGAGTTAGGTTATACTGTAATGTAATTAAAAAAAAAAAAAAAAGGTGTTTGATAAAAGTAAAAGATTTGCATACCTCACAGCATCAAGCACACTCCCAATGTAAGCATGTATGTATTTCACCCTTGACATATCTTCCAATGTTGAATTGCGCAGACTCCGTTGACCTATTGACGAAAAGAGAATGATTTACAAGTGTTTGATCAAATTGATGCATAAATCTATTCCAGGCAGAGCTATTTATTTAGAGACAGACCATTTTCATAAATGTAAATAGGAGGATTGCCATAAACTTGTTTAAAGTACTCCAGCACTCCTCTCAAACCCCAGGGCTGTACAGGGAACTGAATAAAACAATCCCAATTAGAAATACAGTGAGCTAACTCACCTAAACTAAGCCAATAATTAAATTATGTATTTCAAATCCCACCTCATATGCAGATGTATTATCCGGCAGTGCTGCCACAAACACAATCAATCAATTACTATAGTTTCTAAAGTAGCCAGAAGATATTCCAATGAGTTATATGCTATGTAAAATGAGTGGTGATCATAACCGACAAGTAGAAATCTTGGATGAAATTAATCAATAGCTAAGCCTGAGCTTTGGTTGGTAACTTCATTCAACGGAAAATCAACTTGAGTACTAAGTGAATGCAGCCATCATTCAGTTTAGTGAAGAACTAATATGTAAAGAACATACTGTTAACTAACTGTATTGCCATGTCTGCGTTAAAGTCTCTGACTTCCTGCTTCAGACTGTTGGAATTATCTTTGATGTAAACTGAGCTGTAGTGTATCAATCCCAGGAAATCAGCAGAACCCTTAACCTGCTTGGACTCATGATCGGTGAAGACTGGAAGTCTGGAGCCCACATTTTTCTTCATTATTTCGGGATAATCTCCGAACATCAATGGATGTGCAACCCTGCAATGCCGCACACAAACTAATTAAATAAAGGGTACAAAATGAAAGAACATGCTAGTCTATAAGAATTATGAGCAGACAAAGACTTAAGGCCTTTAAAAAGGGAAAAAAAAAAAAAAAAATCCGAGAAAAGTTAGAACAACTAAGGGCAAAGTGGAAGTGACATTATCATAGAATCCAAACAAATGTGAGATAGAACCCAGGTTACATAAATACCACCAAAAGCAATATATAGAAACCCTTCTTATGTTATGCAGGATACTTAACTTACCAACCAATTAGGAAATCACTGGCTCTTTGAGTAGCAATTACGTCCTCTGTTGAGTTTGTTAGAGGGACTACCCCAAATGCGTAGATGCTGATACCTATATAACCATGCTGCTTGCCCTGCACCACTGTGTGTTGCAATTAAAATCTATTTTGCATAGACATGGCCTAAACTGACATCTAAAAATTAAATGTGTGTAGGCACAACATTTAAGTTTAATGCAAAGACAATTTTATTTTAGGATTTGATGCAAATGAAAGGGCATATTCTTTTTGTTGGATCATATGATTGTTTGAGTCATAAAAAAGATGGAAAAGCACATGATATAATTTTTTTTGGATATTACCTGATACTTGTTCCTATAGAGTCTTGTAGCTGATGCATGCGCTAACAAAATATGATGAAGTGCCATGTATGGCTCAGAGGTGGAGTTGCCTCTGGAGCAATTGAATCCAAATGGAAAAGAACACCGCTGAGGTGGCACATATCCTTGATCATAACCGCCAAGCACGAATACATTGGGCTCATTTACGGTTGTCCAATATGAAATCCTGTTGCCAAACTCTCTAAAGCATACTTCTGCATAAGCAGTGAAGTCTTTCCTGCATTCGCATAGAGATGATTCAAGTAGTGTCAATCAACTTTTTTGGTGCTAGGCAATTTACCAATCACAAACGGTTTAGAATTATACACAATTCTTTGATTGATCCATCCTCCATACTCATCTTCAAGAGCCTGGGGAAGATCATAATTGAATAACGTAACATGCGGTTCAATTCCTGCGTGATCAAAACAAAGATATTTCCAAGACACTATCTGTTATCATTTGTGAAGAGAAAAAAGTTGATGTTAAGACATTATTGATGAAAAGTTGGGTCTCACCATGGGTGGTTAGTTCATTTATGAGGTTGTTGTAATACTGTAAACCCTTTGGATTCACAGGTCCTTTTCCATCTGAGAGAAATAACACGAGGATAAATATGTGAGATTAATCAAATATTGGTTAGTACTTATTTGGTCGTTAAGAGTCTCAATTCAAAATTGTACTTGGGATTAGTCTTGACCACGAGATGGAAAATCTATAGGCATCTAAGCCTGTGTCCGCCATGAGTTGCACATCTTCCTGCAAAAGTACATGAATAACTAGTTACATACAGACCATCAAGCTACAGCATCTAAAACAAAAAAAGGATAAACGAAATTTGAATTTGTGACTTAGTTATATAGAAAGAATCGGCATATATAAGGCACCATGTATACACCTTGTATTTGTGATACTCATCACATGCTACATCTCCTGTGGCTCCCTGTGCCTTCCCTGAATTTTGAGAGGTGGAAAATCAAGTATCGGAAACATACTTTTGATTGAAGAACATACATGCTATGTCTCCTCTGGCTTCAAGCTAACTTTCGACTATAGTGATCCATAAATTACTTATCTATTCTCTTTTAAATTTTAACCACACCCTAGAATATTTACACTGGGAGATATTGAATGACCATAATGAGGAGTGATGATTCTGTGAAATAATAAGGATGAGTAGCAGGTTAAACAGACCTCAATAGTGTTCCAGAAACTCGTTTGAAATTTGTCTAATCCCCCAAATAAAATGCAAATCTTGTATCTAAAGGTGATTAATTTAACATAAATCAACAAAACTCAAGTATGTTACACATTATGTATTGGCATATTCAATTTCAGTAGAGTTTTTAATCCAAAAAGTTAAGAAAACATACCCTCGTGTGCAAAGGTATCCCAAATGCTTGGAGTCCGCCCATCTTCGTTTGCTGCTCCCTCCACCTATTGTATGATTTTTATATTTTATTTTTCTAAAATAAATTTTATGATTAAAGTAATGAACTTTCTAGTAAACATTTTGCCTATTTTACTATGTATAAACTTAAAAATAAAATAAATAGCTAAATATATGAAGTAAAAGTGAGTGACCTGATAAGCTGAGGTGCCAGAGCCAAAAATGAAGCTAGGTGGGAAGTCATGTCTACTGAATTCATCAGCGCTAAGCCCTGTTACTGCTAAATGAAGCAGAATAATTAGCAAGAAAGAAAGTCTAAACATTTTTTCACTGTGATGCAATCAGAGGAATCAATGCTTCGTGCTGATATTTTACGAGCAAAGTAAATGGCTTTGAATAGGCAGAGGCAGAGGCCAGAGTTAGACGTATCCAAAACACTTGGTGCTGCTTCTTTATGGGAATTAATTAGTACACAGACAAATCTGTTACCGTCCAAGTGCAAATTCGTCCATGACCACTTTAGGAATGGGACCAGAAGACTGATGGGGGCCTGTCTTCTGTTTTTTGACGTATTTGTTCAACAATAAAAAATCTGCACGTAGTCGTTATGATTTATGTATATGTATATCTGGAGAAAAGGCTAGGTTTCACTCTCTATTTTATTTTTCTCTTGTTTTTTTATCATGACAAAGTGATAATTAGATGCTTAAATTATCGTCCTTAACAGTGATGGGAACAAAGAAGGTAAAAGAAAATGAGATCCCCGTGCCCTATGGTGGTTAATTGAGATAACTATTACATCTTTTATCCAACTGATAGTTTCAAAGTCTTAAAAGATTAATTGAGATGTATGTAATTTAACTCGAACACTCTATTAGTTGAAAAAAAAAAAAATAGAGCCCGTAACTGATATCGAAAAAGGGTCCCCTCATTGACAATTGCAGCTCAACATTTAACATATCAGAACTAAACTTCCTCATCATTAATAATTATAAAAATAAGAATGAATTGTTTTCTTCTATTTTTTCTTGTCTTCAATTCACAGAGCTTGCCCTCCCATGTTGTGCAATGGGATTGAGCAATAACTTGTGTAGAAATCTCAACAACCAACCATTATTTTTGGGCATTATTTTTTTAATGTGTAATAGCAACACGACATGTTTGATCTGATGCATAACGGATCCAACGGTTGAAAGGGAGTGAGGCAAATAACATTCTTGGCAGCTTTGCTTCTGTGCAGCCATGACAATGCATACCTATTAAGTGGTACAGATTCCAAGAAAAGCGCCATCTGTAACAAACACAAGCATCTATCTGTAACTCACTGACTCTTGTCCTTTTCCTTTTCCTTTTCACATACATAGATTCAACATTTTTCACCTATGCTTCAACGTCAAATGTCTGGTTCGTTTTCCTGCTCTTAATTAGAAACTTGACAATTGAGATAAAAAAATAAGAAAAGCAAATTGTGAGACACTCAACCTATTTACGGTATCATAAGATAAGATAAGGTGGTCAAGATGAGCAAGCTATCGTGCACGTTTACAGTTCTCGCCTGAACACGAATTATATACACGGTACTGGGATTCCGATCAATAACACAAGGCAATTGACAGAACATACATGATGAGCTTCTGACTTGGAAGCAGAAATGTCTCTATAGCATAAGAACCTATTTAGCGGACTCCTATAGTCAGAATCTAAGGCATCACAAGTTGATATCATTCATAATAATCCTGAGCCATTGGTCATATAGCATGAGATAGTTTCCCAACAATCAAGAGATGTAGCAGTAAATACAGAATAGGACTCGAGACTACATTCAAGTTCAAACTCCTTACATTCGTACTGATGAAGTGATATCTATTCAAATCATTCCTTCATCATTCTCCATCAACTTATTATCTCTCCTCCCTGTACTACAACTAATTTTACAGGCAACAAACAAAGAACAGAATTCCAACAATCATATCCTATACGGAGCATACAAAAACAAGAAATAAAGACAATGTTCTGCAGTCGAAAATTTCACTAGTTTGACTAGACCAAAAACAGTCGGTAACCTGGAGTTACAGTGTATCTAGAAAGAATTTACTACACCCCACCCCAATCCAATTACCAGGTATTATTTTCCTATCTTCATTCTATCATAACTTTTGTGCACACGACAAATGGAAATCTTATCAACCAGAGATATCACATTATTGAATCCACAACATTAGGCGTGCACAACCACATTAATGAGGCTATGGCAAATTGACAAAAAACTGAATTTTGATATCTGAAGTTGAGTACTTATAAGTGAAATGCACAAATGACAAACATAAAAATGGAACAAAGATGCATTCATCAGCATTTTCATTGAGGATAATGCACTAGTAATACTGCCTTACGGGTATAAAATAAACTGTTTAGCTTCCAAAACCTTCAGGCCTGCATATTTTTGCTACTCCATCTTTTACTAGAAATTTATCATTGAAACCTAAAAAATGCAGTAACAGATAATCAATATCTTAATAAAATGCATATTACTTCACAAGATGGCCAGTCCTGCATTATCATAGTAAAACAAATAGAACAACATTAAGGCCTTGTTCAACTACCATAAGTTCTGACCAGCATATTACAACTGAACTAATATTAAAGTCAAGCAGATGGAGACCAAAAAGAGATCTATATACAGAGATGTAATATGATGATAAGTTATAACATTTCATAACATCAAAATTCTTCCATTGATATAAATAGAAAAATCTTATGATAGTATGGAATATTACTAACGCTGCAAACCGGTTAAAAAATTTAATTACCCATCATCATAATCTCGAAGAGTGTTTCCCACAGAGTTCATCAACAATTCATAAAAAGAAAAGAAAAAGAAAACCTATAACACATTGACCAACGCTAAAAGCACACATTTCTTTATTAGAATTCAAAGCAAATTTAACAAATAAAACATTGCAATTGTAATAACATAATAAAACCAGAAGCAAAGAAATACAAATACTGAGAGAAACTATAACAATACCAAGCAAGTGAAAAACAGCATCAAGTGTACAATGGCAACTCTGTCCAGGCCCCAGAAACATGGCCATTTTCACACACATAAGCTCTAACAACAGGTTCACCATCGTCATGGTACCCAAAAACCCTTCTCAAACAAAATGCAGAATGCAAGTCCCAGGTCTCTTTACACGGACAAAATGCGCAACTGATATCAATTTTGCTCCGATTGCCATCGTTTATGGTTCTCCAAACACGAGAGCGCTTAAAGTTCTTGAAAATGCCTCTAAAAAGCATGTAATTTCGCTTCTCTTCGGTGTGAACACAACCTGGCCAGTCAGAAATGTACAAACAATCCCCTCGAAATCTACTGGCAAGAAGTTTATTGCCTTGCTCACGACTCAAATTCCAAACCCCAGATGCCAAATGCGACTTAACCGATCTGCTACAAAATTTCCTCTTTTTACCAGAAGAAACGTCGAGACCCACTTCAGCCACACAATTTGCAACGTCATCAACAACAAACCCACAATCATCTTGAGCCTCAGAATTATTATAAACAGTGTCAAAATAAAGATCGTCAAAAAGTGACCAGGAACAATCAGCAGGAAGAGTCCCAGATTCTAGATTGCTGGAGCCAGTGTCGGTTGACGGAGTGGCTGATTGGATCCTAGTAGAACTTTGATAATTTGCATCAGGGCCCAGCTCACGCTCGAGGCCGAAATCTGAGTTCTCTAACAAAACGCCAGAGTGAAGGAGGCCTGGGCAGCAGACGGAAAGCTTATTGAGGGACGACCACAGGTCCAGTGGAGCGGCCGAATCAGTGGAAAGGAGATCGGCGACAACGCCGGGCATGCTCCTAGAGCACTTGTTCTTCCAGCAAATATTACGAATAAGAGAAGAAAATTTAGTGCAGACAGAGGCCAGGCGGGCCCAGTTTCTTGGGTCGTCCTCCAGTTTGAAGAATATGTTGAGGATGACATCGTCGGAGAGTTTTGAGAATACAGTCTCCGACATTATTTTTGGTTTGGGTTTGTTTGGTTGAAGTTCAGGTTGGTTAAAATTTTATTGAACTGACGAGAGTCTGTGGCCTTATATTTTGTTGTTTAGTTGGAGGTTTAGTAACGTATACGCTTTTGGATGAGTAACGTATGAATACTCAATTTGTCGCCATGTGTGGTCGAAAAACTTTCTGTTCCTGCTCACAGACAGGCTGACGCAACTTGTCGAGATTTCATGCTAGTCTATTGCAGTGGCGAGCCGAGTTAAGACTTTTCCATAATCGTTTGATTACGAGTTGTATTATGGATCTTAATCGTTCAATTTCCTTTATTTATTTTTTAATACACCTTTTAAGTCTAGTGGTTCCTCTCTTCCTTGGATTGATTTCAGATAATTAGATAGAATTACAGTCTTTTTCATTTATGGGCGATGGTGGGTGCGCAACCGAATTGATGAATGACAAAGGCAAACTAGGGCCACAAACAGACACTACCACTTGAGAACTGGGACCAGATCATTCAACTTACACATCGCCTTGTGTGCAGCATTTCATGTCACATTTATCAGTCTTGTCACGAAAAGATAAGGACATTATTTCCATCTAGATGACTGGTTGCGAGAAAACATACGCCGCAACTCCCAACTACAAGCCACGTAAAATAAGAGAAGAAGGTGAAAACTAGATCTTATTTTACATGAAACTTAACCGATAGTGCCACTAAACAGCTACTGCTGGTTAAGCTCATCCGCAAAACAAATAATTCATCAGCCTTCTTGAAAATTTAAGAGCTCTGTATTATCAACATAAATACGTCCATAAGAAACTGGTCACTCCCAGTCGGACCAACTTTAAAGCCTTATCCTGTATCATTACCATAGCAACTCTATACCTAAAATCCCCAAAAGACATACATCAACAATCAACAACACACCAAACCACCACAAGGAATATGTGCGAGAATTTACCTCAATTCAAGTATTCCAACACACCTCAAAGTAAGAAAAAGCTCAAGAATCTAACAGTCAAAATAACATCAAAGACCGTTTCAAATCCGTCAATGATCCAGAATAAGAGAGACAAGTCTGCTTCAAATAAGGATTCCAAATTACCATTCATACAACAACTAAGGCAAAATGAAACTTCTCCCACATCCATAGCATCCACAGATCACCAAACACCATTCTCACCTGCAATAAACAAATGGAAAGAGAATATTAGCATATCAATAACTAAGAATGGGAATAGAGGATTATATTAATCCTCAGAATGAAACGGACATGTGTTAAATAAAAGAAAAATGGTGCTGAAGAATGGACCGGGATAAACTCTTGCTTCTGCTCCTGCTTCTGCTTCCACTGGGGCTCCTGCTAACACTGTGCTTTTTTGGGCTTTTACTCGTTCGTTTCTGTGCGTTACAGTACCAATACAGATACATGAATCATAATAAGAACAATAAAAGCAATCACAACCAAAAAAATGAGTCCATTCAAGCAAAAAGCCAAATCTTAACTCCCTACAGAATAAACAAAAAGGAAAAGAAAAGGAGAGAAATAACAAGTCAAATCAATTTAAAACTTCAAATTCTATCCATGGCACATTCAAAGCAGTTGGAAATCGGTAAAATTGTGAAACGAATGTGTTAATACAGTGTAACAGTCCCAGTAAAAGCAGCCACAAGAAATTTGATCAAAGGTCCAATAATGAAAGGTTAAAAACTGTCAACAAGTCACTTACAGGAGGCAATGGAGATCTTGATCTTGATTGAGATCTGCAAAAGTTCCAGAAACAACCCAAATTTAAAATCCACACGTTCCTTTTAAGAATTGTCATCCAAGAACCTTGGGCCTCTTCCACAACAAAATTTACCATATCAAAAAGGATAACGAAAAAGCAAGTCACAAAAAAAGAAAATATCAGACTGTAATAATAAAATCCCACCCACACATAACACCTAAATTAACAAGAAAAAAAAATCTTAATTATGAATTATATTGCATTTTCAAGACACCCGTGGCAGAGGGGCATGCTTCACCCTTACACCCTATAGTACCACAAAAAATCCAAGAGAATCCAGATAGCACATCCTATTAGCTTGGCAATTTTGTTGGAGCAGAAAATCACAATGAATTTGTTTCTACCGCTCACTGATGGTGACTTCCAGATCCCAGTGGCACTTAATTCGCTGAAATCCAGCTCTATTATTGCAATCCATTCTCTCCTTTGTTCCCAATCTAGCACCCATGGACATTTGTGATGCTAATCGTATTAGAACAGAGACACCATGAAGGTTTCCAAAGTTTCCTATCTGAAAAAAGCATACCTCCACAACCAAAAGATTGCAGGCAATTGAACCATATTCCATCAAGTCCTAATATCCAATCCCCATTTCGCAGCATATATCCATTATCTAAAACAAGAAGAAAAAAAAAAGCCAACTTTCATACAATAAAGAGACAAATTGAAGATAGTTTGACACTGGATTTTCTTTCTCAATTGCCCCATCTACCGAAGAACAAAGCATGAAAGCCAAAAATGGTATTCCACACATGAGAACTACAAGTTGATATTAAAAAACCAGTGATATCCCAAAAAATACACTAATAAATCAAAGAATTCTTTTCCACCAAAATCCTTATAACCAAAAATAAGACTTCATGTAACCTAGAGGTAAATAGATTATATAGTGCACTTCAGGAAATGTTGGTATACTTCTATTGATATGAGCAAAACATTTCTCCAAAGAGATGGTAAGCTAAAACTACCAGTTCAAATTTGAAGATAGTTATCAATGTGAAGTCAAACAATTTTAGCGAAAAATAGAAGCTATTAAAAGGACAGAAAAGCCATTATTTGCAATCCCACAAATTATGCAAATTTATATCAATATAAACATTAAGCTATCTGTTGATCTAGAATATAGAACTTAGCAGCCTAGACCCCAGTTAATTAATTTAATAAATTACAGAAAAAAAAAAAAAAATTCACATTAGCATGATAATGTGAATGTTGTGCAGTGAAATAACAGCCAATGTATCTTCCAATTTAAGAAACAAAAAGAAATCAGTATGGAAGGAAATGCGAGAATGTATTTTATACTTTTTTTTAATTAAAAACTAGAGAATTTCAGTATAGCATGATAATGCAAGACACAACCAAATTATCCATTGAGTAAGCTTGTTGAACCGGTCTTCCATGTCATTGAACCATTTTTTTCTTCCATTTGTTTTAAAATTTTAAATAGAAATTAGCTTTCATGACATAACAATACAAATTTGTTATGTCTACAAAACCCTCTATTCCAAAAGGATTATGCAACTGCACTAAGGCAGAAAAAAATCAACAGGACAGTTTGTATATTAGAGAACTGTCTCAGATAGCAACTGATTACAATAAAGTATCCTCCTCAGAACCAAGAACAAACCCCAAAGTGACCAACGCTCATAAATGAAAGATAACAATAAGCATACCTTGACAAAGATCGTGGTTTTGATCCAGAGCGAGAGCGAGAAGAAACAGACCTCGATCTAGATCTAGCAGGAGAGCGACGCGAAGATTTGGCTTTGGGAGATTTGCTGCATTATCTTAATGGTTAACAAACAACCCTAAGTGCATACCAAATTGATAATCTTATATCAAATGTTAACTATGCTGCATTATCTTAATGGTTTACTTTAGGAGACTTACTGAATTGAGTCCAAAATGTTAACAAAAAGTCCAAGCACATATATCAAATACTCTTAAATTAAATAACATGAACAAACCTCCTGCTCCTGCTCCGACTGTAACTTCGAGCACGACTACGACTACGGCTGCGGCTTTCACTCCTGTCTTTTGAAAAAGATCGGCCTCGACCAGGGCTTTGCGAGTGGTCTCGCCTAGAATCATACTCCCTTACCTAGTTGCCAAGAAGATGGTAAGCAAAATGCAAAACAAAAAATACAATAAACTCAGATTTCCAAATATTAGATACAGAACTTACACGAACATAGGACCGAGAAAATGCATTCCGAAACTCTGAGTCATTAAGTTTTTTGATCTGGAAACAGACCAGAAAAATGTTTATGCATCAATGAAATCAAAGGCCATGGATGACATTCACTGTCATTTACTGCATAATCGGAGAAAGATAACTTACTGCATGCTTCATGTCATCATAGTTTGTGTAATCCACAATTCCAGTTGTGCCTGCAAAACAATCACCATAAATAGAAAAACACCTAGACATCTTTACAAAAGTTATAAGAAATATAATGCACGAAAAACTAAATAATAACCCAGCAATCACTGGCTTCAATAGTTAAAAAGTTGCTACCCATGAGAATTTTAGTAATAACAAATAGGTTTCTCGAACAAAGTCATAAGGAGCATAAGCAAGATAAAGGGAAGAGAAGACTGAAAAAGCCATTCCCAGTTATGACACCTATCACAACATACAAAGGAAAGTACAAGACAAGCATGTCCCTAAATATCTTACCACTACCATCACGAAAAACTTGGGAGAAACAGACATCTCCTGCTCGACGCATGTGATCCTGCCATCATGATGTCAGGACTGGATCAGAAAAAAGCAAGCACTTCTATGGTCACACATAAACATGCAAAGGCGTAACGAGACACATTCAAGAAGGATACATACTCAAGGGGCAGAAGAAGGGAGAATAAATGTAACAAAAAAAAATTACCAAGTACAAAAACGAATAATTTTCATTTAAACCAGAGAGAAAAAAAGAAAGCTCACCTTAAGGTCTTGCCACGAAGCAGAAGAGGGTAATCCAGTGACTAACACTACATGATAAAAAATTTCAGTCATATCATATACATCTCAACATACAACAAAAGGTGCATAAAATGGATGACGCACCGCGATATTCAGAGCGCCTGGATACTCCACGTCCACGACCACTGCTGTAACTACTATGACGATCAGATGATGAACGTCCTCGCCCACCATGCGCAAGTTCCACCTGAAAGGTGCACATGGTAGAAGATTTACAGAAGTAACAACTAATCAAAACATGATATATACACGGACATTACAGAATAACTAACCCGTAATCGGTGCCCATCAAAGTCATAGCCATCCCGACCACGAATCGCATCCTCGGCATCTCGAGCCTCTTCAAACTATGATAAACATTGTTTTCAAAACAAGATCAATAAATGTTAAAAAGAAATTAAAAAGAAAAAGCCAAGGGTAAATGTCTGTAAACCCACCTCAATAAATGCATAGCCAGGAGGCCTTGGTGGGATCTTCAGATCAATATGGGCTATAGGTCCATACTGTGATAAAATAAAATTAAAACTAATTATAAGAAGATGAATATTATCAAACCAATTAAATATCAAGTACACAATCTGAATTATGACAGCATTCCAACTCAAAAAATACACAAGCTAAAATTAAGAGCATAATAATATCAAACAAGTTTCACAACCTTCACGTTCTATTTATCTATTTATTTATTTTATATATTGGAAAAATAAGTCCATGTTCTAAAAGATTGAAATAATAAACAAAAGCATTACCTTGTAAAATAAATCTTCAACTTCTCTCTCACGGATATCACCCGGGAGATTTCCGACATAAAGAGTTCTGCTCGCACGGCTGCTCATTTTTCCTGAGAAACCATTCAAAATCATAAACCTTGAAATCAGACATATTATATAAAAAAATTACCACAAAATCAAAACAAGAAGGATGAGAGAAAATAAAAGAACAAATGAAAGTCAGACTTTTATCACACATGAATACAAGGAATAAAAAACTAGATTTCTTTTCTTTCGCTCGATTTAAATGTTCACTCTGGGAAATCCAGTAATGTTTTCTGAAATTGTTCAAAGAAGAAAATTGCTAAACATGAAAATTAAAAATTGAATTTTACAATTACAAGCCCTGAAATCATTTCGTAACATAATTTGAGAAAAAGAAAACTTTTAATAAATTGGTCTCACTTTCCTTTTCTTTTTTTTTCTTTTTTTTAAATTTGGTTGAAAATTTGAATGTTTTTGATTGTATGAACGTAATTTCAGTATGAAAATATAGTGGATGCACCTCCACTCCAATATGTATGTCACCCAGTCATTGAAATTGAAATTAAAACTAAAATTAAAAAACTGTACCTTTAGTGATCCCTTAAATTGCACATTGCGGCCGTACAGACATATGTCTTAATAACTAAAAAAAAGGTTTTCAGATAGAATGCCGAATTATTAAAATTTTGGTATTCTTGATCTTGTTTGTATGGTGGAGAATAACCGTTCGGAGGAAACGATCTTTTAGTGCTTTATTTCTTGAAATTAGGTTAAAGTTTAGTTTCTTTGAAATTAAGTTAAAGTTTAGTTTCTTGATTGAAGAGAGAACGTTTTTCAGAGAATTAGGGTTTTCTCAAGGATGAGAGTAAGAAACATATAAATTTGGAGTTGGTTTCCCCCGAATCAGTCCCGACTGAAAAATAAATTTGATGCTTTCATAAAAAAAAAAGTACTAAAAAAAGAGATATAGGGTTTGAGGTTTAAACAACAAGAGAGCATACCTGTGAAACGATAGTGCCAGAGAGCTTCGAAGAATAGGGTTCTGAAATTGGGCGAGAGTTAAAGTTAACTATAATGTAAGAAGGGTAGAGATAATATGTTTCGCGATATATGTTATGTCCTCTACACTTCCATAGTACCAATCTAATGGCTATCGACAATTGACTCCATGATCTATAAAAGGCATTTGGTCAGGAGTTATGTTATCTTATATTATTTTATTACTTAAATATCAATAGTAGTTATTATCGATGATATTTGAGGTGAACTGATTACTTCTATTTTTTTAGGTATTATAAAATTACCAAGGTAATCTTTTTTTTTTTTTTGTTACAATTATATCTCTTATTAATAAAATTTTATGACAATAATACCCTTATTTTTAAATTTATTTACATTAATCTTGCTTTTACATTTTACCTCAATTAATTAATTTTTTGGACAAAATTACCCTTGAAATCAAAACAAATTTCAACTTACCCAACCACCACCTCCACCCACTTGTCGCCGGCCAAACCACAGTTGGCTGTCGCGGGAGGTCCACGGAAGTTGTTGGGAATAGCCCACCATCACCAGGAGGCTCTGGTATTGTCATTTCTGGCCATATTGATGGCCGAAAAGGCCATATCGGGAGCAGATCTGGCCAGATCTATTATGGCCATTTCTGGGCATATTGTTAATGGCTAGACCTTTGGCCTTTATCGACCATATCTAAATGAGATATGTCTGTTAATGGCCATGGATCTGGCCGTTAACGACCAGATCCATCGATTTGGCCATCAATATGGTCAGAAACGGCCATATCGGGGCCTCCCGATCATGGTGGCCTACTCATAGCGACTCCAAGCGATTTCTGACGACTTCCAACGGTGGTTTGTGGTGGCAACAGGCGACGGCAGGGTGGTGGGAGGGATTTTATTATAAATTAAAGTTTTATATAAGTATGGGTGTTTTAGCTAAATTTGAAATATTAGGGGTTAAAAAAAGTTATTTAAAAATTAATAATAAAAAAAAATTATATTAATATTTAAAAAGAGGGCAATTTAGTAATTTAAATAACATACCCACCAATATATTTCTTATAATCAAACATATTAATATAGCATACCCACCCATTTATTCCAACTAGAGTTGGGCATTTGGGATCGGGCCCAAAAGCCCAGCTCCAAAAACCGGTCCTTGAGTGGGACCAGGCCTAAGGAGGAGGGCCCGGGCCCTCTTCCAAGGCTCGGGCCTGGGACCAAAATTTTTTGTATTTTTTCAATATAGTCCCCTGCCAAATTACATAAAACCCCTTGTTAATTTGAAAATAAATATAAATTACGAGGGCTAAAATGAAATTTTACAAAATTTATATAAAAAAAAAAAATCTTCCAGGTCTAAAAAATTTAAAAAATTTATAAATTTTACCCCTAAAAAATACTAAAAACCCCCTATAAAATTTTGTTTTACCCCCAAAATATAAAATAAAAATTGAGGAGGGAAAATAAAATTATCCAAGCCCTATGGACCGGTCCTGAGCCCATGGGACCAGTCCCGACCAGGCCTAGGGCCTGGTCCGGGTCCTGGTTTTTCTCATGGGCCTGGGACCGGTCCCAAGCCCATGAGTGACTGGTCCCATTTAGGACCAGTCCCAAACGGGCTCAGGCCTAGGCCCGCAAGGGACTGGTCCCTACCAACCTCTAATTCCAACTAACCAAACACATTTTTCTAAAGACTCTCAGTAATCTTCAAGGTAATATAAGATTCCAGTAATCCACCATTCCTAGTAATCCAACATTCCCTGAACCAAACGCACCCATAGGAGTAAACGACTTCTTCTCGCCTAAGGTTTGCTTTAATGACACTTTCCCACCCAAAAAGTTTCAAAATATACTTCCTTTAGAGTTTCTGATTTAGTGGCAAACGGAGAGCAACTCGGTCCAAGCTATTTGAGCTTTTGAAGAGCGGAGGCCAGTTAGTCTTTTGGTGGTGGCAGGTTGGACTTTGGTGGTCGAGATTAGTCAGAATTTGACTTAGAAAAGGCGGCTACGCATTCCGCAAATCGTTCAATTACTGACAATTGACGGGGTTGACGGGGTTGGCAAGAGCAAGGTTTGAGGGGTTTTAGTAAGTGATGAACATGGAAGATAATAGTGGTGATATAGGGTTGTAATGATATTAAAATCGGCCAACGATTGACGATTCCGACATTAGAGTGCCCCACACCATCAACATTTTATTTCCCAATCATCACTCTCCAAAATCTCTCAAAACTTGCTCTCGTCGACCTTACTAATTGTCATAAATAGAGTGATTTGTGAAACGCATAATCGCCTCTCTCAAGTCAAATTACGACCAATCTTTACCACTAAAATCTAACCTGTCACGATCAAAAGACTCATTGACCTTCCTTATTCAAAAGCCCCAACAACTTGCATTCTGTTTGCCATCGAATAGTAAACCCTAAGGGAAATATATTTTGAATAATAATGAAATATAAGCTTTGGGTATTAAAATTGCAACAAAGCTACGGACACCGATAAATCTGCACCGAAAATGTGTACCGGCCTACGTGTAACTCGCCTCTGAATTTTTTTATAATTTTTTTCTAGTGAACGGTCGTCCATCAAATTTGGACGGCCGTTCACTCACATGGACGGGCGTCCATATACAAGGGACGGGCGTCCCCATTTAAATGACGCCCGTCCCTCATTAAAATACAATAAAAAAAATTTATAAACATTAGGGACGGCCGTTCATCCATTATGGACGGTCGTCCCTTTGTTTTGGACGGGCGTCCGCAAATAAGGGACGCCCGTCCTTAACCAAAATATAAAAAAAATAAAAATAAAAACTTTGGGACGGCCGTCCCTTGCGTTTGGACTGGCGTCCATTACGAATGGACGCNGCCCCTTAAAACATGACATTTTACCCCCTAAACAGCATAAATGAGACAAAATCACCCTGGATCCATAAACCACAACCTAATATCAACTCATATATTTTCCAAAATCATTCCAAACACATTAGATTCATAAGAAAAAATATTAGGAAGCGATTTTCGTGAATAAATCATAAATTCTTTAATTGTCTCAATATACTTCAATTTAATCACAAATGGGGTATTTTTATCACCAAAATAGAGTCACTTTCATGACTCTAACAGCAACGACAGGGTGGTGGTGGGGATTTTGTTATAAATTAACGTTTTATTTAAGCAGAGGTGTTTTAGCTAAATTTGAAATATGAGGGGTTAAAAGAAGTTATTTAAAAATTAATAATAAAAAAATATTATATTAATATTTAAAAAGATGGCAATTTAGTAATTTAAATAACATACCCACCAATTTTTTTCTTATAACCAAACATATTAATATAACATACCCACCCATTTATTTCTTATAACCAAACATATTAATATAGCATACCCACCCATTTATTTCAACTAATCAAACACATTTTTCTAAAAATTCTCAATAATCTTCAAGGTAATATAAGATTCTAATAATCCAACATTCATTGAACCAAACACACCTGTAGGAGTAAACGACTTCTTCCCACCCAAGGTTTGCTTTAATGACACTTTCCCACCTAAAAAGTTTCAAAATATACTTCCTTTAGAGTTTCTGATTTAGTGGCAAACGGAGAGCAACTCGGTCCAAGTTATTTGAGCTTTTGAAGAGCGGATGCCAGTTAGTCTTTTGATGGTGGCAGGTTGGGCTTTGGTGGTCGAGATTAGTTGAAATCTGACTTGGAAGAGGCGACTATGCATTCCACAAATCGCTCAATTGCTGACAATTGATGGGGTCGATGAGAGCAAGGTTTGAGGAGTTTTGGTAAGTGATGAACGGGCAAAATAATAGTGGTGGTATAAGGTTGTAATGATATCGAAATCGGCCAACGATTGGTGATTCCAACATCAGAGCGCCCCACACCACCAGTATTTTCTTTCCTAATTATCACTCACCAAAACTCCTCAAACCTTGTTCTCGCCGACCTTGCTAATCGTCATAAATAGAGCAATTTGTGAAACACGTAATCGCCCATCTCAAGTCAAATTACGACAAATCCTTACCACTAAAATCTAACCTGTCACGATCAAAAGACTTATCGACCTCCCTTAATCAAAAGCCCCAATAACTTGTGTTCTATTTGTCATCAAATAGTAAACCCTAAGGAAAGTATATTTTAGATAATAATGAAATATAAACTTTGGATATTAAAGTTGTATTTTGAAACCTTTTGAGTTAGGAGGATCGTTAAGGCAGACATTGGGCGGGAAAAGGTCGTTTAATAAGTAGTGCCAATCATTGGCCCAAATGTGCCGTTGACAGGCTACATCCCGTAGACTGGAACAGATCCATTTTTTCAATTTCCGCTTATACCCCGAATTACAATTGGAATTTCCACTTATACACAAATTCAGATTTAAAGATTAAGAACCAACTATATAGCTAAGAAAAATAATTATACGATAACAAACAATTCCTTTAGGCGGTCCAATGACAACATAACCAGAAAAGAAACTTTAAATTTAGATATATCATAACGTTCAAATAATACAGAACTTAAAAAATATTCAAAATTAATTGAAATGTGTGGTTTTACTTTTAAAATTTATTCCTATAAAATTTTCCAATGGAACCCATAACAATAATTGCAATATGACATTGGTTAATCCAGTTTGAGTTGTTTGATGATGGCAATCTTTCTTCTCGGTCTTTTTTGGGGTAGTTTCAAAATAAACACCTTAAACTGAATTATTACCAAACTATAGAAATAAAAAATAAATAATTAAAAAGTAGAAAAGAAGAGGGAGAAGCAGGGTGTTAGTCAAACTGATTCATGGGAATCACAAAAGGAAGAACAAGGTTTAAAAAATCTTCACATTAAAATGTAGTGTTTGTAGGCATTCCAGAGCATGTTACTTGGTTTATCAATCACATCAACCTGATGGCATATGAAGGTAAAACTATTGGCCTTATTGCACACACCAGAAAGAAAAGCAAAGGTCTATTTCAGGCAAAAAAAGAAAACCAGCAACTTGAAACAAGTTAGAATACCAGTCCTGACAAAAATACAACATCTCCAAATTATTTATTCTTGAAATTCAACTATGGCTAGGTGTGATGACTATCAACACCATCCCCACCCTCCTTCTTCTTTCGTGCAGCAGCTCTTAGTTTTCGCTGCTCTTCCTTGTAAATTCGATTTCTTCGTTGGAACTGAAATAAGCATTTACAAAAACCATAAAAGGAGTCAACATACACATTGAAAACCAGAAGATGATAAGTGGTTGCATTCAAACAGCTAGTTGCATTTTAAAATGTCAGTCCTTCAGCAGATTGAGATAATCTACTGAACCAAAAGCTATAAATTAAAAACAGTGAGATGCCATGAGACATGCATTGATACAGTGCTATTGTATTCAATAATTTCTGAAGAACCAAGTTAGATGATAACTTCTCGAACATGGTAACATATAGTCATCAAAATTTTGTCATAGAACTTCAAGAAAGATTAACCAATTCTTAAGCAAGTCAATTTATGCTCTGGACTAAACCTTAGATCTAACAGATTATGAAGAAGAAGAAAAGTAATGGAAATATGTATACGTTTTCCATATCATGATTACAGATTCTTGGACTTCACAAAACTTTCACAAAGATACTTTTTGAATCAAATTTGACCAATCCTAAAAAATTAGTCTGGTTACCTCACCAATTATTAACAGCTGTATAATGCTCATAAGCCCAATAGTGTGAGGTGCATGGCATTCTTATTGAGATCATGATCCAATTGTACAGTTCAAGAACCCCAAATCAAAAATCAACACAGATCTCCCTATAAACCTAGCCTTACAGGATGAGGCCAACACAGAAGGAAAAAAATTAGTCAATCTTAATATTTGATATCTTCAGATTGGTAGAAACTAATAAAACAGGGTTCCCTAAAAAGCTGAATTAGTGGCTGAGGATAACTCAAAGAGATTATCATTCATTCCTAAAGTTAAGACTCCCGTCCAAAAAGAGAAAAAATCTAAATGAATAAAATAAAAGAAACTAGTAATGACCATCAGTTAAATGCACATAAGATTTTAAGCTTCAACCTCAAAAGACAAAATAAGCTCATGACAATTCTTGGACTGAGCAGCCTATGGGAAAGAATGTCATGGTAAAGGATAGACTATATAAAAAACGACGAAAATATCCCTCCCACAACCCTGTAACGAGGAGCCAAACACCAGGATAATGACTCTTTTTCTTTTTTCTATTATAGATCGGACAGAAGCAACAATACCAGACAAGCTAAACATAGAAAAAGCACTGACAACTCTATTGTGCACCATTTTTGACAATGATGGCCCTAATTGAGTAGAAAACAGTTACAGGCAGTTCAAGGATCCCAGTGATAAAAGAGAGGACTGAAAATCAACATAAAATGACTATTGGAATATTCGACATTATGTCTACTGGAAATTTTGAATGACCAAACATTGCACTGGCAATAGCAAAAAGTAAGAAGTAGAGAGAACTATCTTATTGTTTTCTCTTTCTCCTTGTCTGAAATAAATTACCTTTAGATGAAAACAATCCTTAGTTTCCATAATGATAAAGATGTCTACTCCCATGTGAATGTAAAATGAATATGTAAGCAATGTCAACAACCCCATAAATGTTGCCATTCTCATGAAGAACTCTTGACCACATGTGCTGCTAAATAGTTAATTTAAGAATGATGAAGCTCCCAAAACTCACAAATTTACATTTATCAATCAGTTACTCAGTAGTAGCTTCAAATGGTATGCACTCCTCAACCATTGTATTTCTCAAACATACCATTGTAAATTTCAACGTAAACTAGAATGCCATTTTTCTCCTTCATTTTAAATCAAATAAGCCTCACGAATGTCATTCTCACATCCAAATCTAATCATTAAATCATTACAGAATAAATCTTAGTCTTTAAAACAAAGATAAGAATTACCGACCAGCGAACAAATGCAGACTAAAGAGCTAGAAATCAATATAGATTTAATATTTTAAAGCGACGTTGAACACGGTAACAAACAATAATTCTATCCAACTAATTAAGAATTCAATATCAAATCTAGTGATGATGTAAAATGCAGAAATGAATTTAGGGTTTTGAAGCATCACTAATAACGTATAACATTCGGTAATCTTGAAATCTATAAAAAATTGAAAGAAAAATTAAGATGTTAGAGAGAGATGGTGACCTCTTTGGCGTGGTGGAGGCACTCGAGGTAGTCCTCACGGAGGAGAGAACAGTCTTTGGGCTCCCTGCAACGGGACATGCATTCGCTGAAGTCCACCCAGAAATCGTAGCACCTCCCTTTGTTCCCAGTGATTCCCCATCCAGATGCCATTTCTCTGTTGGTCTCTGCCGATACTGCTTAACCGATGCTTTCGATGGCTGCCCTGCAGTTTGTTAGACACAGCTTCCCCGTAGCAACTACCCGGTTGAAAAAAAAAAAACAAAAAAAACAATAATAATAATAATAATAAAAACAGAGGCCTGATCCAAAAGGTATATTAAGGTCATGGACTATAGTCCATTTGACATTTGTACCTGTTGGAGTCCATTGGGCCAATCAACCTAACCCATCTCATTAGCTTGTTTAGACATTTTATTAGAAGAAAAATAAAAGTTAAATAACATATTCCTACCCTACCTTTCGTGAAAGTAACTCTACCCCTTGTTTGAGAAACTATCAGAAGTTATAGGAATTATCAAGAATATTATTATTTATATAACTTTTGCCTTTTCCTGTTTTGCAAAATTGGAAACATATGAAGGTAAAGAGTGAGTTAGTCATTTTCCTTTTAATGACAAGAGACATATTTTTAAAAATAAATTAAAATTAAAATTGTACAGTTTAATATTAACACGTCATTAATAAAAAATTATACTATATAGAATAATCTGTTTGTAACTTTTTTGCATTTGATAAATGAATTATAGCCATAAACTATAAAGTATAAACTTTAATCTTAAAACAATGAGATGAAAATAGAATTAAAATAATACAATATTAATATATCTCTAAATTAATGCATATCCAAGTGAGAGAAGCACCTAAATAAAAAGGAAAAGTAACAATTTTATCTCTAAAGTTTTATTTAAGTAACACTTTAGACTTATAAAATTTTGTAGTAATGTTTTTGTCTTTGTTATTAGTAATTTATAGGGACCAATTGTACTTCTAGGATTTAAAATGTTACTAAAAAAAATTACAAGACTAAATTATTTATATCAAACCTCAGGGACGAAATTGTTATTAATTTCAATACAAGTGATTTTTTCGTCGTTCGTGCATAGAGTTTAATTTATAAATTTAAAAATACTTCATCCTTCCTTTGCCAATCGGTCATCAGCTGTACGTTAACATCACAAAGTGGATTCCTTGCGGGACCCATTCCGTCGACTAACTTGCGAAAGAAGAATCGGACTTCACACTTTACCTTCCACATAACTAGCACCACCATTAGCCCAGCAAAAAAATAGTCAAACAAACTGAACAGGACGCTGACTCCCGACGACTCCTCCCCAAGCTCACGTATTCTCTATCTTACTCAATCACTGCTCCAGGAAACAACTATAAAATCGGAGGCGCGAGGGAGACTGACTTTGCAAAGGCAACCAAGACTCTTTGCATCCTTCTTGCTTAAGCAAACGGAACTTAACAATAACATCGAGGAGAAAGAATAAGTGAGGGGGAGAGTTTTCACAATGGGATCATCATCTCCGACGTCCTCTTGTAGTTCTTCGTACATGTTACCGTTTTCCTCCTCGGAATTTTCGTCTCTTCCCGTGTTGTCTCTCAGAGAGAAAATTGTCGAGAAAGTCCTACAAAATCGCGTTACTCTCATTGTCGGTGAAACTGGCTGTGGTACTTCCTTCATTTCTATTTACTTTCTACTTTAATTGTGCTTTGTGCTTTAATCTCTAATTTTTGTCGAAATAGTGTTTCATTTGGTAACATTTACCGTCTTGAGTCTTCTTTTCTTTTTTCTTCTTCTTCGTTTTTTTTTTAAAATTGGTTTAATGGGTTAATTTTCGGCTGTTAAATTTTGGCGCTTCGCTCACACGTCCTCTTTGCAATTTGGCTATTTGATTATTGCATGTGTGTTCATGGCTTTGAATGCCGAAACTGGTATTACTTTATTTGTGATTTCTCAAGCCTGTCCTTATTCAGTGGATGTTTGTTGACTTCTGTATAGTTTCTTCTTCTTCTTCTTCTTCTTTTCTGTTAATACAACTTTCATAGTTCTTATTGAAAAAAAAAAAAAAAAAACTGATTGAATTAACTTCCCTCCTCTTTTTGATGTGTTTGTTTGTTCCATTGATAATCAAGGTAAGAGTTCTCAAGTTCCACAATTTCTTTTGGAGGAAAACATGGAACCCATTTTGTGTACACAGCCAAGGAGATTTGCTGTTGTAGCTGTTGCTAAAATGGTTGCCAAAAGTCGTAATTGTGAATTGGGTGAAGAAGTTGGATATCACATAGGGCATTCAAAGCGCTTGTCTGAAAGGTACTTTGTGATATGTTTCCTATTAGTTGATTTATCTTTTAGAACTTCAAATTTTTGTATGCCGTTTGTGGTTGTGTGATTGTGTCCCCCGTTCTACTCTTTTTTTTTTTTTTTTTTTTTTTTTTTTTTTTTTTTTTTGGTTCTTCTTCTCTCTTTTCTTCACTATCCTTCTGGTTTTAGAACTGTGATCTTACTGTGGGTGGAGAGAAATGGGATGTACTTTTGGACACTTCGGTTTTCCGTTTTGATGCCTAAATGGCTTTAAAGAACACTCAACTTTCAGATGGATGAGAGGAACTTCTTTTTGTAAATGAGTTGAAAAAGGTCATTTTACTTTCTTGTTATTAGCCTTGCACTATTACTTTGGCAGTTACTATTAGGCCTATCCACATTTTTAGGAGCTTTTGATTGAATTTTGTTAACATTTGATTATAAGTGTTGAGAATTCTTACAATCAACCTTAATTTTTATACTTTTAAATTAATTACTTGATGTCTTTTATATTTACTGGCTACTATTATCTCTCTCCTTGCCCTGTTTCACTTTTAGCTTCTTTATTTTCATTTTTGTTCATGGTTAAAAGAAATTGACGGATAAATTAGTGCTTGATACTGTCAATTTGCGTTAATTACATTTTTGTTATCATTTTCTGCAAAATGTATACTTGGCAATTTTTAGTTACCTTTTTCATATGGCATTGCAGATCAAAGATTGTTTTCAAGACTGCTGGAGTTTTGTTGGATGAAATGCGTGACAAGGGGTTGAATGCACTCAAGTACAAGGTTATAATTCTTGATGAAGTGCATGAAAGATCTGTTGAGTCTGATCTAGTTCTAGTCTGTGTGAAGCAGTTCCTAATGAAGAAGAATGACCTGAGGTTGGCATCCTCTTTTATTTTAGCATTTGCCAACATTGTGGCCTTATGTTTAGCTGTAATTAAGGTTTCATTAAGTTTACTTCTTAAAGTTTGGCATATCTGGTGATTGTACTCTATTTGTGATTTATTTATTAGAAAAATAGAACTCTCATCTCTTGTAATTGTATTAAACACTTCCTAATTAAACTTGGTAGGAGCATGATTGCATAAGGGTTTATGACTTCATATTTTTTCCAGGTTGGTTTTGATGTCTGCAACTGCTGATATCGGAAGATACAAAGATTACTTCAAGGACCTTGCAAGGGGTGAAAGAGTCGAAGTGCTCGCAATCCCCAGTTCTAACCAGAGAACAATTTTTCATCGAAGAGTTTCTTATCTTGATCAGGCAATCACTTTACATATTCAACTTTATGTTGGCAGTTACTCCTGTCCAATCTAGATTGCTGCAAATTTTTTTTTTTTTCTTTTTTTTAAACTTTAGGAGATTGTATATGCTCATTCAGGCATGTGAGAAGTGAATTTATATAAAAATTATGTCAAAGAGGTTGTTATACATCCTTTAATAGCACATGACCTTTTAATTTCAAAGAAATTCCTTTCTCAAATATCTGATGCTGATGTTACTACTTTTGCCCAGGTAGCTGAATTGCTTGGCATGGATCCTGGAATACATTCAGAATTATCTTTAAGATATTGTTCTGGTCCAAGTCCGTCTATGGCCAATGCTGAAATTAAGCCTGAAGTGCACAAACTTATTCATGATTTGGTGCTGCACATACATGAAAATGAGACAGATATTGAAAAGAGCATTTTGATTTTCCTTCCAACTTACTATGCCCTGGAGCAACAATGGTACTTTCTGGAGCCACTCAGTTCCTCTTTTAAGGTTCACATTTTGCATAGTAGCATTGACACCGAGCAAGCTCTCATGGCTATGAAAATCTGGAAATCTCATCGTAAGGTAGACCTTTAACTAGTTATGCCTCTTTAAACTGCATATGAATGTAAGTTGTGGTTGAGAGAGAGAGAGAGAGAGAGAGAGAGAGAGAGAGAGAGAGAGAAGAGGAGGGAGGGGGGGAAGGAAAGTTGATATATTTGTACATGTATTTTATTTTATTTTTTATTTTTTGGTGGTATTGTCGTAATTTGATATGCTTTTTTTGTTGAAAAGATTAGCTGGTTAAGTTCTTATGCTGCTCCACATGACATGGTTGACTCTGTAATTTCTTATTCAGTTTAGAGCAAAGGTTAGGAATAGAATGTGAACTAAGTCTGACTTCTATAATTGTCTTCTATTTCCAATGTCTTAACACCTTGCGTGGATTCTCTCAGTGGATATAGACTTTAATTACTCATCTCATTGTTTGTATAATTTTACACAGGTAATACTGGCCACAAATATTGCTGAATCATCTGTGACAATACCCAAAGTGGCATATGTCATTGATTCATGCCGATCCTTACAAGTCTTTTGGGACGGTAATAGGAAAACAGACGCTGCAGAGCTTGTTTGGGTTTCTAAATCTCAGGTATTCAGGAAGTTATTACTGTTTGCCTTTGATTGCTTTTCTTTCCAAATTTAGGTACTTAAATTCAATAATGCTGTAGGCAGAGCAGCGTAAGGGAAGAACTGGTAGAACTTGCGATGGCCAGGTTTATCGGTTAGTTACAAAATCATTTTTCAGTAAGTTTGAGGATCATGAGTGTCCAGCTATACTGAGGCTATCATTGAGGCTACAAGTACTTCTTATTTGCTGTTCTGAATCTAAAGCAATCAGTGATCCCAAAGGTATAAGGTTAAGACTCTGGTTTTAGAAATTTGTGTTGCATATGTTGCTGCATATATAATGGACGTTTTTCCCTTCAGTTATAGATTCCTTTGATAGATTTCCTAATCGGAAAGGGAACTGCCAAGTTTCTTCCATTTCTTCAATGGGTGGAACCTCTGGATATCTAAGTTTCACCTCAGTTGAATAATACATTGGAATTTGCTTGGGTTGAAATCTAATCTTTGCTTAATGTTGAGTTGAGTCTGAGCTAAAGTCTTGGCCAAACTGG